ATAGTAGAGAGAGATGAGAGATATTAAAGACAATCATATAAGGAAAAAATTTATATAAAGATGCTACTTTATAATGTTGAACTACGGATGCCCCTAAAAAATCCATCGGAAAAAGTAGTTTTAATGTTGATTGATCATCTTGACTTCGAGATGTATGACTATGAAAAATAAAAAGATTATAAGTCTAAAAAATAGTGCATTTTACAATAGATTAGCTACACCATCCATTTTCAAGATTTTCATATGTTTATAGATCTACTTGATTTTAACCATTTTTAAAATTTAAAATTTTATAATTAGATATAAAAATAGATTTTGAGATAATCCTAATAACATGTTACATCAAAATTATATACGATGATAAAATTTGAAGGGCACTGTACCTCTACACCTACGTAAGCGTCTATATGCCAACTGCATCCATCATATAAATATGAGGGAGGCAGTGGGTGACACATCTTAGGAGGGAGATATATTTTTAAAATCCCATATAAATAAGAAGAGGAAAATTATACTTATCTCTATAAAAAAAAAGTATGGGATTTGATGCGTGGAGAGAAAGAGATTTAATATGCGGGGAGAGAGGGAGAGAGATGCGTGGAGAGAGAGGGGGAGAGAGATGCGTTGAGAGAGAGGGGGAGAGAGATTTTAGAAAAGAGGGAGTAAGAAATATAAAAAAACTATAGAGAGAGAGAGATAAATTTTAAAAAAGAGAAAAAAAATTATGAGGGAGAGAGTGAAAATTAGGAGAGAGGAGATTATAGGAAAGAATATCTAATATAAATTTGAAAATCATGTTTATCTCTTACTAAAAATGAATTTCACCATCTATTAATTCTCTCTATTAAAAAAGAGAGAGGGAGAGAGAGCATGTATAATTCTCTCCATTCCAAAGTCCGTATTTATATTACTTTTTAAGCAAATGCTAATAATATTACGTATTTTTTCATGACCGTTTATTTGTATATTTTGGTAGAACCACCCCATTTTAATATTCATCTTTAAAAAGGATGTTAATAGCTTCGGGGACACAAATATAGAATTTCGTCCCTGGTGCTAGCTACAATTTTCTATATTTCATATCACGTGATACGCCATAATAATAGTTTTATGTAGGTGCTCAATACATGATTGAGAAGTGTCCACTTCTAAGATTTCAATGTCATACAACTACTAAAAATAAAATTGAAAAGTAAAATGTAATCGTAACCGTTTTTTTCCTTATATCTAATCTTGACCGACCGAGGTTGCCTATGCAATAGGCAAATTAAATTTGCTACTTCAATATTTAACGAAAACTCTTGGGGGAAAATTTTCATTAAAAAAATAGCATTTAAGGCGTTGATCCATATTTTTGGGTGCATTACGCTAAGGTCTAATGCTTGGGTGGTGGTGGTTTTTTTCTCCTCCATGTTTGGCTTATGGGTCCTATGTTCTCAACATCGGATAGATAGAATATTTTGGTTTTATTTTTTTGGTTTTAGTAGTAGAGATATTTTGTTAGATATTTGGGATTTTTTCAAGTCTGAAACATTGGACAATCCTAAACTTGCGTAGTCCAATGTCCAAAACATTGGACAACCCTATTATAAGTTATTACCCCTAGTTTGGGTCGGTCCAATGGAGGTGCGCCTTAATTGCATGGTTCAAGGTTGCAACTTAAATATTGAACTCGTCAATTTTTTTTTCGTTTGGAGCAGTCTGATGTTGATAACATAGATAGCTGTTAAGCCTATCTTTTAATTAGATTTATTTTGAGTGATCGGATATTAAAAAAGAGAAAAATTACATATATATTCATTATTTTAAGTGTTACTACAATTTCACCTAAAATTTAACGTTAGTATTGCTCTACCCATTTTATATCCGTTATTACAATATTTTGTCAAAATTTTTAAAAATGACCAAATTTGAGATAGTTATTTTTTTCTATTTTCCTTAATAAAGATGCCCAAAAAGTAATTTTTATTAATTTTCATTTTTTTTAAAGAGAAATAACACTGAAAAAATCAATTCAACTTTTCAAGTTGGATTAAGGTCCTAAATCTCCATCTACTTTTGAATTACTGGGCGCCATGTCTTTTTTACTTTGGTATTTCTCAAATATAAAAAAAAACAAGATAAAAGAAACCCAATTTGTAACAGAATGATTTATTACCAATATATTGCAATGGGAAAGTATAGAATGCGACAATTACCTTTAGTACATGGTGGTTACAATTGATATTGACTATTGGATGTAAAATTGGATTGCTGCATTTATTTCATTGACCAAGCTCAAAGTTCAAAATAAAATTTTTCAAACTTTGTGACGCACCCAGTAATTGTGACATTTTTGTACAAAAGATAAATGGTCTCATTGTATATTATTCTTTTTTTTTTTATGTTTTTTCTTTTTGGGTAATTCATTGGGGAAGATAGACCCCTATCCATTTTTTTCAATGAATTAGGGAGTTACATTTTGAAGGTGTTAATTGGGGGGTGTCAGCGGTAGGAATGGATACCATGATATGATACCATTTATTTCAAAATATATATTTTGAAATTTGAGTTTTCAACATTTAGATCTCACCATTTCAAAATGGCATGATCATTCAATCTCAAGACATCTTTTTTACCTTTTCTTTTTTTGTGTAATTCAATGGGGAAGCAGGCCCCTATCTATTTTTTAAGTAGATTAAGAGTTAGCTTTTTGAAGGTGTTAGTTGGGATGGTGTTAGTGGTGGAAATGAAGTTAGTAGATGGTGTTAGTGGTGGGAATGAAAACCACAATGTGGTGACTAGGGTGTGGGATGCTACCACCAAGACCTAGCCGTTTCGCAAACAAATGAATTGCATGAAATTATTATATTTGGTCCAAGCCTTTTGAAATGTTAAGGGTGGGAATGGAGGGTAGGACAATATGTTTTTCAAGTGCATAAAGGGGACAATCACGAATTTCTTTTTATCGAGGTTAATCTATTAGCCGAAGAGATTACATCCCCAAATTTTACGGCCCTAAAATGAATTCTAAGTGGGATTAATTTGGTAAATCTCTTTGTATTAGGTTAGAAAATGGATATATTGATAATTCAAATTACTACATCTACCAAAAAAGATCATCGTCATATCCTGATTCTAATTTCAAGAAAGAGATGGGGTTTTACTGATTAACCTACTTCCAAGCAGGTAGCCGGTGACCCACAAGAACTTTGTTACAATCTATTAAAAATCTCTCTCTCTACACGAGCAGTTCTCTCTCATAAAAATGGCGAGTTAGAGTTCTCTCTCTACCAAGCCAGGAAAAACCAAGACAAATCTCCTCCGCCTTCCCTGCACGAGTTTCTCTCCCTCTACGCGACCAGGGATGAGTTCTCTCTCTAAAAACTAGGATAATAAAAAAAGAAAACAACTTTTTCTCTCTCTAAATATCATGGCAGAGGAGGCGTGGAAGTTCTCTCTTTAGAAGAGCAGCTCTCTTACAATAGCCATGCAAGGCATACAGGAGCTGTCGCTCTAAAAACCAAGGGAAATGAGAAAAGCAATATCTTTCTGTCTACAAACCAGGGCAAAGAAAAAAAGTGAATCTCTTTCTTTCAAAAAACTAGGGCAAAGAAAAAAAGTGAATCTCTTTCTTTCAAAAAACTAGGGCAAATGTATTCTCTATCTCTATCTTAATATTATGATTTCTTTCTTTAGTTTCAATGAATTACTAATCTGTGAAATGGAAACACGCAAGGTTCATGTGCCTTCTTCTTCGGTAGAGCCACAGATATTCGAGAGAGATGTACCTTCCTCTCTATAAATTGTACACGAGCAAGACATAAATTTTGGGTAAAAAAATAATTATTTTTCTTTATAACATATAAAACCTACTCATGATATTTGCAATGGGTATTCTTAAAAAAAAGGGTTATAACTAGTGGGTTGTGGATCTCTTTTTTTTTAAAATTTTTTATGTTGTGGATTTTTTGAGTTTCCAAAAAGAGAAACTACCAGTTGCAGCTTAGCTGATTTTGAATGGCAAAGTATCGGTTGTTGCTTGGAATTTTTGTAGGTTCTCCAAGTGCCTTACAGTAGAGGTTCAAGAAGGATGAGTTGCTATCAATTCTATTGCTGAGAAAGACAGTGCGTTACCGTAGAGGTCCAAGAAGGATGGGTTACTATGAATTCAGAATTCTACTACCGAGCTAGGCAAGGTCTTTTTTTGAAGAAACTGAGCAAGACAATGTCATATGTCAATCCATTGTTAAGGATATCTTGTGTTTTGGTTGCTTCTTAATTTGTAGTGGATGATTATCATCAATAGAAATTTGGTTTTATGCTTTCTATGTGCCAAAATTTCCTTGGCATTCTTCTTGTTGATGTGTTTGTGGGTATTTGTGTGAGAGAGAGAGAGATGAGCAAAGAACTAGTTGTTGATGTGTATTTGAGAGAGAGAGAGATGAGCAAAGAACTAGTTGTTGATGTGTATTTGAGAGAGAGAGAGTTGCCGAATGCCCTTTGTATGGCCCTTCAAGGGCCATTGTGCATAAGTACTTACGCCTTTTGCACTGATAATCATTAATTTGGCGCTTGGCATGAAATTGGATGTTTGTCATGGTGACATTTCTCATATTGTTGGATCTCTTGGTGGCTGCATCAACATGAAATCCAATGCCCACGATGCTGCAACCAAACCTGGCCAAACTTGACGGCATCTCATTTGCCATTCCAATCCCCTGATTGTTCAGTGCCCAAAATTTACAAGGAAACACGCAAATGAAGAAACCAATGAATTTTGTGCTTTGCTAATATTCCCTAATGCCTCTTTTAAACAACATAAATCCCAAATCTTGTATGCAACTTCTAAATCGATATATAATAATTTGAACAAATCAAATCAGGCTTTGTTATTCATAACACAAGTAGTTCATCAACTTTGCACAAACTAATTACCAAGAGCACAGATTGCATTAAATGAAATATATAAATGTCTAGGAAAAGAAAGAGACGTAAAGTGATCTACATTTGTGGAGATGTAATAAAACATATGACCACTCTTTTTATAAGGAGAAGAAAGGCCGGTCTGAATACCACGTGACTATACTTATCATAGTAAGTTTCACAAATACAAAAAAAATGACGCCATGAAACAATAATGTAGGTAACTAGCTTGCAAATATATGCTATGGAGAAACCAATTAGTAGCTCCCACAATAAAAGGAAAATCCATCCCCACATAGGCTACTGCTCTTTTTTTTTTTTAATGTGTTCATTGTTGTAATAATATAAAGACTAAACCAACTACAAGTGTTAGGCAGCCCACTAATAGGTTGTTGTATGCAAAAACCCGTAAAGGGGCTCAACAAATGTTTTACATCCAAAATATAAACAACATATTAATATACGAAAAATGGGGGACCATGTGCTCAAAATGTTGCCACAAATCCCCTATTTGTTGTCTTATGTTGCTCCCTATTTAGCGAGAACGTCGGATGGTGAGTTGGGCTATATGTTGTGGTTGTATCAAGCTGCATGTAAAGAGTAAAAATAATCATCACCAAGCAAAACTAATAATAAATTATCATTAAAGGGCTCCAAATTTTATGGCCAAAATAAATCACAGATATATAGAAAAATTGATCATGTGAAACAAAAGACATTTATCTAGCTTGCATGTATGTCATTGGGAAGAGTACCATAATATTTAAAGCTATCCTATTATGACATTTAGTATGATATTTAACTTGCTTGCAAGTATATCCATCTATTCTCTTTTCTTCTCTATAGAGAACTTCAGAATTTGAACTCCAATTAGAGTCATACATGTTTAGTAAAAGAAAAAGGCTAGAGTATGTATCTAGAAAAAAAGAAGCAAAGATGATCTTAGTAATATAAAGAAAACGATGTTTTTCCTCGATGAATTGAAACCTACAAAAGCAACATCACAATAGAAAATCTAGGTGACCAAATTTAATTATCATAAGGTAGAAAAAATTTAAGCAAAAGGATAGCAAATCTTCCATTATCAAGAATAAAAACTGTACCGCTAGAAAAACCTCCTAACTTCAACCCAAGAGATATTTCTCGACATTGTATCGTTCATTTTACATTAAGCCCATTTCACTTGCAGTAGAAGTTATTGTTGTGCGCGGAAGCTCTAAACCTAACAGGTTGATTTTTGGCAAATAAAATACGAGAAAAAGAATCGACAAAAAAAAAAGCAACAAAAATAAGGTAGGAAATAAACAACATAAAAAAGAACAACAGGATTTACGTGGTTTGTCACAATTGTGACTACATCCATTCGCGAAGATGATCAATGTTTTTCATTAAATCAAAGAAAGAAAATTACAAGGCAATTTACTTGAGAGAACTAGAGATTTAGTCTCCCACAAAATCAAATTTTCTCTTTCTGCAAAACCCCCAAAAGTTTCCCTCTATTTTTCTCTTTGCACTCTCTCTCTATAAGAGATGACCACCCAAAAGTGCACCTATGTATGGCCTACTTTTCCACAAATGCTTTTTTTCTTTTGAAAAACATCTTTTTTTTTAGAGAGAATAAAGCCCCAAAAAACAAGTAGGTCAAACCAATTTCAACTTTCATAACTTTATTAACAAGAAACTTTATCTCTATCTATATGGATCTAAGGCTCTATCCTAATACAAGTAGGATTTATCCATAAACTTAGATCCTAAATAATATGCTCTTTTCAAATAAATAGAAAACCTAAATTAAAGGAAACCAATCCCTTAAAATTAGGGATTCAATAATTCAAGATAAATATCAACAAATCTCCACCTTAGCTTGAATTCCAAAAGAAATTCTCATCAACTATCTTCTCCACACACGTCCTCATAGGCACTTAGTTGGGCAACACATTAGTCAAGTCCAAACATAGCTTGAACTTCTATAATGGAATCGACTTTGTCAACATATCTGCAACATTATTATTGGTTTCAATCTTAAGCAACAAGATATCACCTTCAGTTATGATTTCACGAATAAAATGCTATCTGACATCAATATGCTTCATCATTGCATGATATACTTGGTTCTTTGCCAAATATATTGTACTTTGATTGTGACAATAAATAACAGTCCCATCCTGTCGTAGGCCCAAATCACTTGCAAGCCCTCTAAGCCAAATGGCTTCTTTTACTGCCTCATTAACAATTATGTATTCTGCTTCAGTCACCAATAAGGCAACAACGGTTTGAAGCATCGACTTCCAACTGATTGAAGTTCCTACAAGTATAAACACATAACATGTAGTAGATCTCCTACAGTCTAAATCATATGTAAAGTCAGCATCAATATAAGCAACAATCTTATCACCAAACTTGCTATCTCTATCAAACGTCAGACCTACATCTGATGTACCATTTAGGTAATGCAGAATCCAGTTTACGACATGTCAATGCTCCTTTCCTGGATTAGCCATATAAGTGCTAACAACACTAACGACATGAGAAATATCTGGTCGAGTGCAAACCATTGCATGCATGAGACTTCCAACTGCACTCGCATATGGAATACATGACATGTATTCCTTTTAAGCATCTGAACTTGGAGATAATGTTGCCGACAATTTGAAATGTACAGCAAGAGGAATACCCATGGGCTTCGAATTTTCCATCTTGAATCTAATGAGGACCTTCTTAATGTACTCTTTCTGAGATAACCACAATTTATGTAACTTTTGATCTCTATGAATCTCCATACCCAAAATTTTCTTTGCTGAACCTAAATCTTTCATTTCAAATTCTCTAGCAAGTTGAGTGTTCAATTTACTGATTTCTAAAGAACTATTTGCAGCAATAAGCATGTCATCCACATAAAGCAATAATAGATGAACGAACCATTAGTAAATTTATTAAAATAGACACAATTGTTATACTTTCTTTTGACATACCCTTGTCCAATCATGAATGTGTCAAACCGTTTGTACCACTGCCTAGGAATTTGCTTTAGGTCGTACAACGACTTCTTCAACTTGCAGACATGGTCCTCCTTTCCTTTGATAACAAACCTTTCTGGCTGAGTCACGTAAATATGTTCTTCTAACTCTCCATGAAGGAATGCAGTCTTGACATCAAGCTGCTCTAATTCCAAATCAAACAATGCAACCTTAGTTAGTAAAACCCAAATAGAAGTGTGCTTCACAACAGGAGAGAAAATATCATTATAGTCAACACCTTCTTTCTGCGCATAGCCTTTTGCAACCAAACGTGCTTTAAATTGATCACCACCAGTCTTAAGTGACCCATCTTTCTTCTTATAAACCCACTTACAACCAATGATTCTCTTGCCTTTAGGCACCTTCACAAGATCCGAAGTACGATTCTTTTGAAAAGATTTCATTTATTTATCCATGGCTTCACTCCACCTGTTACTGTCACTATCATGTGTAGCTTCTTTAAAAGTGGATAGCTCTTGACTTGTGGCAACCAATGCATAAGCCTCCATGTCCTCAAAACTGTATCGCACAACTGACTTTAAAAAATATTCTTTCTCTTTCCAAACTGAGGCTCTTCCTCAAGTGGAGTAGATTTAATGACCTTCTCATGGTCAACATCTTCCTCCACTCTCTCACAAGGAATTTCTAGCACATTATTTGGAGTATTTTCTAGAGTTGTGAACTCCACCTCCACTGTATCACTGCTGCAACAATTTTCCTTTTCAGCACCCTTCTGAATGTGCTTAAACATGACATACTCAATGAATTTGACATCACAACTGACAATAAACTTAAGCGACGTAGGATCTGGGCACCACATTCTATTGCCCTTAAGCCCATACGCATAACCAAGGAAAATATACTTCTTTGATCTTAGACTCAACTTATCATCATTCACATGAACATAAGCATGATAACAAAAAATTCTTAAATGAAAATAAACAGCAAGTTTACCAAACCATACATCTTCTAGTGTTTTGTAACCATACCTCTTCAATGTGTAAATCCACACCTTCTTAAATAAATCATCTATGAAGGAAACAATTGTGACTACATCCACGAGCGAAGACAATCGAAGTTTTTCATTAAATCAAAAAAAGAAAATTACAAAGTACCTTACTTGAGAGAACTCGAGACTCAATATCCCATACAACCTTATTCTCTATAAGTTTCTCTTTCTGCAAAACCCCCAAAAGTTTCCCTCTATTCTCTATGCTCTTTCTCTCTCTACAAGAGAGGACAAACTCAAAAGTGCACCTATGTATGGCCTACTTTTTCACACATGCTTTCTCTCTCTAGAAAAGCATCGAATAAAGGCCCAAAAACAAGTACAATCAAACCAATCTCAACTTTCTTAACTTTATCAACAAGAAACTTTATCCATATCTATGTAGACCTAAGGCTCTATCCTAATCCAAGTAAGACTTATGCATAAACTTAGATCCTAAATAATAGACTTTACTCAAATAAATAGGAAACCTAAATTAAAGGAAACCAATCCTTTAAAATTAATGATTCAAGAATTCAAGATAAATATCAACAATTATGATACTTGACAATGACTAGAAGTCTACAACTATAGTTGTGCCATTAGCTCAAGAGTTTGTTGATTGGGAACTAGAAGAATTTTAGAGCTGAATAAAAATCAAGCAACCCTTCAAATAAAATCCAATCATCAGAGGAATAGAATCAAATACAATGTTGTTCTACAACTGCCATTAATCCAATAAATAAAATCAACTGCACAATATTCAAATATGGTCATTAGCTGCTGCTAATCCAAACACCCCTTTGATTTCAACAATATCCAATCTTGTTTATTTTCCATAAATTTTACACCCAGAAAATAAAAATGTATCAGAAATATCGACAATATATCAAAAAAAAAAAAACCTTAATTGAAAATTGCAATTACCATCTTGCAAGGGTGCAAAATCCCTTAAAATTTGAAAAAAATTTGTGCATATGAGTTTTTTGGCACATTCATCACACCACATCTTGCTGGCTAATTCACATGTGCATGTGTGTTTTTCTTTAGAGAGAGAAGGGGTTTTCTTGAGACGGAGATGGGGTTTTCTTGCTGAACCAACAACAACCACGGGTGAGAATATGAATGGTGAGCATAGGACAAGGAGAGAGAAAATGGAGAGAGAGGCATGGGATAGCGAGAGAGGGGTGGCACAAGATTAATATCAAAACCCAGGGAGAGTGTGGTAAACACTCCATATAAAAATTGGCAAATTTCGTAGTTTTCCTGAACCCATAAGACCACACTACTTCAGTAGGCCCCTAAACCATAAACCACCACAATCTATGGTCCCATCTTATGATTCACACCTAGTAAATCTTATAGTTTTAGTAGTTATCCATTCCACACCTAGCAAATCCCCATCTTTTTTTAGTAGTTATCCATTCTACATCTAGCAACTCTCCAACTTTTAGTAGTTATCCATTCCACACTTAGCAAATCCCCATGTTTTAGTAGTTATTTATTCTACATCCCTATTAGGTCTTTAAGGAAAATAAAACTCATGTCCCTTTTTTTTGGGAAGGAGGTGGGACGTGGGAGA